CGTTGGGCCTTGCCCATTCTACTCATCCACCACGGGGGTCTTCCTTGCCTTCGGATTTTCCGCAATGGAGCAAATTCTTGCGTAAGTTCAGTAACGTTGCCCCTTATGACTCCACACAGTTCCCCAACTGTGTTTATGCTTTCTCCCCAGCTTAAGGTGGCGGCCCTGTCCAGCAACCCTTGAATGTTCATTCTTTTAAAGGACTGTCGTGTCTTATCCGGTGGGTGGTTTGGCGTAGATGGTACATCGAAGCGTATTACTACGTGGTCGCTGCGACCAATTGGAGCTCTCAGTACCAGGTTTCTTACATCGTTTGAGCACTTGGTTATGACCAAGTCAAGCAGTCCTTCTGTGCATCCGGCCTTCCATCTCGTGGAGTAGTACAGTACAGTACAACAGTACATGCTGAATTAGGTCTCGCTCCCGTAGAAACGCAATCAGGCGACGCCCGAGGGATGTTAGAGGAGCCCATTCGTCCTGCCAGTCTACTTCTGGTGCGTTAAAGCCCCCCATTATTACTATTCGGTGATTCGCCTACGGTTTCCAGTAGATCTAGAAGGGTAGCGTCTTCCTCCACGCTCGTTGATGGGCTTCTGTATACGCAAACGAAGTTGACTCACCCGCTCCCACTTTTGACCTTGCACGAGACAGCTTGGATGCAGGGAGAGTTTAGTGTGATTCCAGCCCGCTGCTCGAGGTATTTTGCCATTAGCAGCAGGACTCCCCCTCCTATTCTCCCATCTCCTCTGTCAGTTCTATAGGGACAGTAGTCTTTCAGAATGTACGTGCTGATACTCTCTTCTGGCTTCAGCCATGTCTCTGTTATGGCCATTCACTGTACACCCAAGGCCTCTGATTTCAGCGCCGTCCATTTGTTACTAATGCTACACGCATTGGTGAGGAGCACCTCAAAAATGCTTTTAGCCTGCAGTTTCATGTTTGCCCTAAGGCACTGGGGTCTGTTTGATTTTGATCTTTCCCCCTCTACTTCGGAGCCCCCCTCAGTAACCCTACCACCTATTACAGGCCTTTGTTCTATGTTCCGCTCGGGTCGATTCTCTTCGGTCGACTGGTCTCTGGGATGTCTAGTTTTCGGCCCGAGTGTGTGTTCCGTTCCCTGTACTTTTACTGGCAGTCCCTCGGGTCTCTCCCCCGAGGGCTGAGTCCGTTTTTTGGGACCCCAGTAGTGGTGGTTGGCGGATAGTTTGTCTGGGTGCTTGCCGCCTCTCTTAGTGGCATTATGCTTGTTATCGGAGATGAGATGATCATCCTCAACATCGGACTTACTAGGTCTCCGAGGCTACACCCAGCAATACTGACATACGTTTCTCGAGGGGTCGCGTCGGTAGTCTGCGTGAGCTTGCCTTGCACTCGATCGCTAACTTTGGTGACTTCCACTGGCCAGCTAGCGATGTCCCCCTCGAAGAGGATACGTTTCTAAAGTCTCCCTTCCCCATAGTTAAGCGATCGGGTTCAATTATGACCAAACCGGAAGTCGCCATCCTCGCTCTTTCTGACGCTGTCAGGAAAGCGTCCCGGTATTTCAGGTTCCCGAACTCAACCAGCACCGGTCTTGCTGCCCCCTGGCTATTGTCCGTTCTTCCAGCCCATCTACCCAGTCTAAATACCCTTTTGAGAAAAGCGTGACCGGGCATATTCGCCGTCCGCAGCAGACTAGTGACCGAATGTCGGAGTGCCCTTTCTCTCTGTTTTGGGTTTACACACAGAGGCTCAGCAATCTCTGGAAAGTCAGCCAGGAACTGCGTCCGGTTACGTGCATTTCTATTATTCTGTAAGAAAATTTTATTTATAGCGCAGTTGTTAGTCCTGTTAAAAATTTCTTTAGCCTGCGCCGCACTATATTATGAGATTGAAATATAAGGTAGGCAAACTGGAGGCCAAGTAAAACTTTGGATGTGGAAATAACATGCAGAATGTGGATTAGGACTACGGGAATTAGGCCTCTAGACTAATAACCATGTTTTCACGACGGTTACAAAAAACCTGATTTTCAGTGGCTTAATTAGTGATAGCACTGAGATCTGAAGTGATTTATCCACGCGCAGGCAGTCGACCGTAAGCGACGACAAGAAGCGACAACATCTGGTGTTGCGATGGCTTGTCATTGATATATATATATATATCCGGCTTGAGAACACCCATGAAAATATCAACGGTTGATTTGGGCTAACATAAGACAAATTAAACTGAAAACGAAAGGAGAAAGAAAGTATGTTTGTTTGTTTTACTGTGCTCATTTTGATGTTTTTGTCCTTCATGGATTACGAGATTTTAACAAATACTGCTCAACATTCCCTTCATTGACTTGTATTCAGTGCCATACCTTTTGGTGTCTCCAACCAACCACAAGCATCATTCGTTAGACTCCAACCTGGAAAGCTGTTTGCACTGACCGAAGGCGGTGCGCCCTGTCATGGTCTAAACTCTGGCACTGCCTCGCTCTAAAGGGTCCGCCCGGGAAGTTTATTTCAATATTACAATCGCTTTGTACTGATAGCCGAAGCCGAGTCCGAGTTTACGGCACTTTTTCATCCGACTTCACCACGGAAAGTGTTCATCAGGGTTGCCCTCGCTCTCCTTTTCTATTTAACTTCGTGATAGATTTAATTTTTAAAACAACTCTATCCTCGTGCGAGGATGGCAGTATCGATTTACTCCCACTTGGCAAACTGTCTGATCTAGAGTATACAGACGATATTCTACTACTAAGTGAAGATCCAGGTAAGTTGCAAGTATATATATATATATATATATATATATATATATATATATATATATATA